ATTCCTTGCTTGTTTCTATCTTTGGTGCTTGAAAAATAAAAAGGAGAGAGAGAGAGAGAGAGAGAGAGAGAGAGAGAGAGAGAGAAGTTTAATCTTTGAACCAAAAACTCCCATTTTCAAATATACATAACCATACACTGATATCCATCTTTGATACGCCAAATCATCCCAAAACCTTTGATATAGCCAAGCCTTAGAAGCCTTGATAAAAAACGAGTTACTGTTTTTAAAAGAGTGGAAAACAGAGAGCTCTCCCCACACATTCTGTTAAATACCCAAAAATACCATTCACACAAGAATTTTGAATTTTCAAACTAAGAACTACGAAATACATTTCCTAAACTTGAGGGTGATCAAAAGGAAGTTTGGACATCAAATCATTTCCTTGGAAGGTGAATTTTGCACACTTTTTTTTTTTTTTTGAGCTTTTTGCTTTCAGTTCATTTCATATTGTAAGCTTGTTATACTCTAACTAGGTGTGGTTAGTTAAGCCACCTACGTATTCCTTGCTTGTTTCTATCTTTGGTGCTTGAAAAATAGAAAACAAAGTTTTGGCCTGGCCTTATTGGCCGGCCGGCCAACTTTTTAGCCGGCTAGCTCATCTTTTTGCCAACCGGCCAACTTCCTCTGGACAGAACCCAGCAACCTCTCGGTGTTGAGCAGAATATTTTTGTTGTAATATTTTCTTTCTTTTCCCCTATTTGGATTTGTAATAATCAAATGTTGTAATAATTCTCCGCCGTGCTTCTTTCTACCCTTTTCTTTACTTGATTTCGATATCTGTACATATGTAGTATATTTTATTTATAATCATATCCATGTTTTACATCCATGTTTCATTCATCGTGATTTGGTGAAATTTGCATTTGTGAGTTTAATCGATTATTACGTGATTTTGTGCACAATTTCATGTTCTTGATATGAATCACATGTCATATTTTAGAAGTCAAATTATTAGTTGCATATCGTGAATGAATTGCATTAGAATCTTTTATATAGGATCATGCATGTTTTACTAACCTTATTTTATAATTGTTTGCAAGATGCCAGTAAATATGTAAACTTTTGTACTTTAGCATCCCATTTGTGTGTATTTTTCTTACTATGTTCGGTATCCTACCATGTGGCTATATACTTGTTTGATATATCTCTATGAATGTCGGTGGATTAAGATTGTGTTGTTCAATTTGGAACAAAATTGATTTTTATGTTGCAAACTCAAGTTTCTATCGAGTTGTTTAAAATGCTTTCAAAAATATATGAAACAGAATTGTTCCAAAATAAATGACACAATCTATACTTGTTTGCATCACATATTAAGTTTAACATTTATTAAATAACCGGAATATGAACATATAAAGCAAACAAAATTCATATCATGGTTTAGTAGAAGCCGATCTTTGATCATGTGAGCAGGGGTGCTCAATTAATGATCTTCCCCACTCATACCTAAAGTTCCGAGCCAAGCAAATTTAGTTATGACGAACCGTAGCCTTAACACAAGTCACGGGTTTCCTAATTTTTCAAAAATATTAGGTGACAACTCTAGGATATGGTAATGTAGTCCATTTCTGACAAAGTTTTTTGTAATAAAATAAATTTCTATAAAAGTTGCCAAAATTTGGACTCTCACCTACGTTTCACATTGCACTCGTGAGACTAGATCAAAGATATTGAGAATCCGAATTGTTAATGCGTGCGGGTACTCCCGGAGCATGTTACACATGGATTGGATGGCGATACCATATCATTGGTATCGCCGTTATAATCACACACACAAAAAGAAAAGAAGAAAAAAATAATAAATCAATAAATCTGATAGGAAAGAAAACAGTGCAAAACCAGAACATATGTGAATTGGCTGACATGACAAATTTGATATTGCAAAATTATTTGATTGCCTTCTTATCTCTTCTTCCTTCCTCCAATTAGTCTAGCTATTCAAAATTTTAGCAAGAAAAATTATGTATGTTATTCAGATTCACTCTTGTATCGGAAGATCACACACAATTTTTTAATTTTTCTCTAAAAGTCTGAATAATTTTTTCTAGACAATCTCTTAAATATCCTAACTGGGTCGCCTAAAATCCCTGAAAAACACGATATAAACTTCAAGAAATTTTCCAATTTCTCACCTCTAATTATTTTTTTTAAAACACTGATATGAACAACAACCAAAATAATATATATATATATATATATATGATATACGCATAAAGTGGAGTGAGTGGGGGTATGTACTAGGACTCGGGAATAATTCACCATATAGTTGCAAGAGCTTCATCAACAAAGGAAATCTATACTATATATTAAATAAAATGGGGTTTTTAACCCCAAGTTTTGTGGGAGTTCCAATCTCTCAATCTAAATTTTCTGATTTTTTTGATTTAAAAAAAAAAAACTTAGCATTTATTAACTTCTCCCAACGCCCAAGTCTTACCCTCATAATAACACTTTAATGCATTAAGAACAAGCATAAAAAAAATTCTTTGAAATCCAACACATATGAATTCCTTGATCTTATCCTCATAATAACATTTTAATGCATTAAGAACAAGTATAAAAAAAATTCTTTAAAATCCAACACATATGAATTCCTTGAAAAGTCTCAACACATATGATTATTATCCCTCATAATAACACTTTAATGCATTAAGAATAAGCATAAAAAAAATTTCTTGAAAAGTCCACCACATATGATTATTATCAAAATATTAAAATTTAATATAATGTAATAAAAAAAACACATATTCCTTGAAAAGTCTAACAAATATAATTATTATCAAAATATTAAACTTTAATATAATATAAAAAAAAAGACATTTAAAAAAAAAGACATTTAAAAATTATAATTTACATATATAAATAATTGTAAACACAATCTGAGTGATATGTTAGTAATAAATAAATAAAAGGAGAGAGAGAGAGAGATTACTTTTGCTTCCTCTTTATCTGTGAAATTCATGTCTAAACTCAGACGTTTGGTTAGTGTTTATACAGAGGGAAGATATAAACAGTGGTTGGTGTCAATGTCATGTTGCTGATTTCTTTCTTTTTTTAATTTTTGTTTTGAATGTGTCAATCACTGTTCTGATTATATAATATTATCCTAATGAAAAGCAGTGATTAGATATGAATGATAGGTTGGTTGGTTGGTTGGTTGGTTTAGGGTCGTTCTCATTGATGCAGTGAGATCTAAGCATGACTTTTTATTTTATTTTATTTTATTTTATTTTTTTTGAAGTGTTCATTCTTGTACAGACTATGAGTAGTAATTAGACATGAACGATTGATCTAGAATTTAAGATTTAGAATTTAGGGTAGTCACTGAGTTTAGCATAAAATTAAAAAGGTCATTTTTTTTTTGTCAAATTACTTCTTTTTTTTTTTAGGGTGGTAAGTGAGTTTAGCATAAAATTAAAAGGTCAAGTTTTATTTTATTTTATTTTTTGTATTTTTTATTATTAGTATTTTTTTAAAATTACGTCATTTTTTTAATTTTTCAAGCCCACTTTGTATAAATGAATTTAAAAATAAAAAATGGTTCAGAAGAGACAAAAATTGAAATGAAAAATTTCAACTACTTTATACTTTTTTCAAAATTTAAATTTTTTTTTTAAACATTTTCAATCAGTCTGGTGGATTATAATTTAAAAGTGTAGAATTTTAAAAAAATTGAAAAAAATGTACAATAAAAATGAAAAAAATCGGAAAATACACTGCTGGAAATCAGGGTTTTAGAGGCGTTTAAAAAACGCCGCTGTAAGTCTTAAAAACGCCGTCAAATCTTTTTGTGACGTTTAGCACCAAACGCCGAAGATGTGGCCGTCGCTATAACTCTATGGCGCTTCAGAAACGTCGCTATATTACTATAGGCGGCGTTTTTAGAAAACGCCGCTAAAAGTTCTACTAATTGTAACATGACGTCACCATGCTATTTAGCGACGTTTTTAAAACGCCGCCGTATCTCTTTTTCCCAACTATTTAGCGACGTTTTTAGAAACGCCGTGATAGCCTTTTTTTAAAAAAAAATTGTGCTAATTTTTTGTTATTGAACTTAAAAAATACCTATAATAAAACTAAAATAGTACTAATATAAAATAATAATAACTTCCATTCATATAGTAAAATCCTATTAAATGATAGTCCACAATCATTGTGCAAAAAAAAAACATTCACACAAATCAAACGGTGTATGTTACACAAAAACATTTCATATTTCTCACACACTAGAAATCTTCATATGGTCGTTGGAGAGTTATTGAGTTAAGAATAAATTATCAATGCAAATAAACTCTCTATTTCAAATACAAGAACCAACAAAAAAAATTAAAAAATAAAAAAAAAATCATATTAGTCCTCGGACTACCAGGTCACCAACTAAAGTAGCAAACACCAGACTTTCTTGTTCATCAGCATTCTTCTTTAGATCTGCCAATCTGACGGCACTAACAAAAGCAATCTTGCATACCACCACACATTCTGGATCAGGAGAACCACCAGGGACAAGCTGCATTACGCACAAAATGTTAGAATTGTAGAATACAAAATCAAGAGGACTCAGCTTCTCAAACAAAATCAATAGGACACAGACACCATGCAAAAGAAATTTAGGGATTCAAACAGCTATTTTGGCAAAAAATCATTACAAGATCTTGAACTTCCATCACAACATAAAAGCAGAATCATAGTACCTATGAAGCTTGCTGAAATAAGAAGCTGGTTTGCTCCATCCCACTAATCTAGAGAAACGCAAGGAAATCAATATTCCAGCACGTATAGAAAACCGTTAGCAGTAATAAAACATATCGTACTAAATAATCCAACGCAACAACAGTAATAAAACATATCGTACTAAATAATCCAACGCAACAGATAACTAACTAAATCAATAAAAGCAGATTTCAGATTTCAGAGATGCCTCAGTTTCTCATTAGTTAACATGAGTAATCAACAAAGTCAACCGCTTCAGATTTCAGAGATGCCTCAGGTGTTGTAGATCTAAATCTTTTGATTGGAGATCAAGTCCATCATCTCATTCGAATCAATCTCGCATAAATCTGAATCATGGATAAGATTTCAGCAACTACAAAGGACAGAGTATATCTGATCATGGTGGATTTGGCAGTGTTGTTTAGGTCACTGGAGTCAGATCTGAACCAAGATGGAAATGCATAGGGAGTAAACATGCATTGTGGTTTGTGAATTATTGGGTGAATGATACAAATAAACACAATGAGAAATATAAAACAAGTGTGGGGACTGGGGAGTACTTAAGCAGAAGGAAAAAATGCAATCACCTTGCATTAAAGAGGCCTCAAAAGCCTGGATTCATGGTCGCTGTCTAGCTCATTTTCTCAGCTAGCCTGAGTTGCAAAATCACCCTCCCAAGTCCACAACTGGTATTGCCGCCAACAGTCCTGGGTATGACTTGGTTGCTGCCACAGCTTACGTTATCGAGAACTTCAACCAATAATCTGATAACATTCTAATCCAAATTAAATTATCTTATGAACAATCCAAGAGGGGCTTATGGCATCACCAATAGAAATAGAGCACAAGATGGTTAGAAATTGAGCTATTATAATGATTTAAAGTTTAGATGGTACAGAGGGATCTCAGTTCTCCCTATCATATGGTATTTTATTTTATTTTATAGTTAGTATATAAAAAAAATAAAAGATTGCAGCCAACAAAAATTAAAAACAGAACAAAAAATACTTACCTGTTTTGTCACAAAATACAAGGCCAATAGAGGAGCTTTATCTAGATAGTTCAACCCATGCTTCCTCCTGTCCAGTATCTACATTTGACAAAACAATATATCTCCATGATATAAAAAATATTGGACAAGGAACTCACAAATCACAAATGCATCAAACAAAGGAACTGAATTGATTTAAATAATCTATTTGGTATTTATTTAACTGGCTATTTAAATTAAGAGTTTGGCCTATTCACCCTCCCTCCAGGCACAAACAAGTCCTCACAATGATAAAAGCAGAAGCATGCAAGAAATAAAACTAGTTACATCATGAAGCCCACATCATCATCCAGTGCTACTATTAAACCCCATGAGAAGTATTATAAGATATTCTTGCATGGAGCAGCAGTCTATTATCTGGTTACCAACATACCATGCTTCAGAAATGTAAACTACGTTTGCAAAATTAGAAGAAAGTGAAAAAGATAGCTTACAACACAACTATGTTCATGCTAGCAGTGCTGAAAAAATTGGCACAGAATATAGGTAGATCAAATTCTGGTTTTGGGAACACAGCAAGATCCAAAAAACCTGCATTTAGTTTATTTGAAACTGAATCAGGAAAGGGTAAAACATTCAGATTGTTATAATAAATCACAAAATCTCTAGGCGACAATAAAGCACGAGGTCTTAACAGTATCAGCATCTCAAGGATTCTTATCCTAATTTTTTATTGTTGACACTAACTGCTTAACCAAGATCCAGATTGCACCAATTGAGATCATGCAAATCAAAAACTTCAAGCTTCTAGCGTTTCTTCCCCACCCACACCCCCGTTTTGTATTTATTCCACTTCTTACTCTTCTTTCCTCCTTGTTAAACCATAGTTATCAGCGATTATTCTCACAAATCCTGAAGACATCTAGAGCAATACTTATTTACATTTCTAACTAGTACAAATTCATTTACCAAACTCATTGGAAAAGAGGCATTGCAGTATTTTGCAAGCACTAAATTATATCATGCTGTAGCTCAAGAAACTCCCTCAGGTAGACTTCAGATATTTTCTTCTTTTAAAAAAAAATGGAGGAGAATAAGAAAAATGGAGACACTAATAAATATAAGTAAGGGAAAGAATCAAAAAACTCCAGTTTTCAAAGGAAAAATGTCAATACCTTCCAACAACAGATTTGGCATTTGAAACATAAGCAAGGGTCACTTTCAATGATCAGAGACACTAAGAAATAAAGGTAGTTCACATCCCATACCAAAATACAAAAAGGGAAAATTCACTCCCTGTGAAGATCCATAATTACTCTCCCATCATATGATGTTCAATTTAGTTCATCTCACCAAATTAAATTGTCAGCATTAATGGCAATATAGATGGCAGTCGTCATCAACCCACAAGAAAGGAATGCAAAATTTATAGCAATATCATTACAATATTTTGAATGCTAGGCTATGGCTATGACAATACGAGAGTGAAAGATTGTGGTCAAAGACTAGTGATCTTGACAATGGGTTGACAAGTCTGAATGTCAAGTGTAAGATGTGCAAGTGCAACATGGTAGGGCACAGCTATCCAAAAGCTAGTGTTAAGGTAGATGAAGTGAATTGTGCCAGCGGACAACACCTGCATTGTTTCATTCCCTTCAACACACAAACTACGTAGGAGTCTGATCTTGGGAGCTTGGAAAGATAAAATCTGAAGCTCTGTTTTTCCATCCATTGGAATCGAGGAACTGAAATTATCCTGATAATGTAACAATTTAGATACTCATTAATAGAGAGGGGTATTGGGGAGAGAGGGGTTTGTACAGAATTCACAAGTCACAGCAATAGCAAATTGCAAATTATGCCATAGATCATACTTCTATTACATATCCACAAAATTACACAAAATTACAATCTAATGCAAGAAGTTGTGTCCAAATGAACTTAGCCACATGTGTTGGAACAAGCAAGCTTTTGAAGCTATGTTCGTTTCAACCAACTCACAATGATCACATAAAGCACTGCTTTTGAAGCTTTTGAAGCTTTTAAATTGCTTCTTAATTTAAATAGCCAGTTAAATAAATACCAAATAGATTATATGCATCCTTACCTCATTTATAGCAAGACTTTCTCAAGAGCTCATATCAAATTTCAACAAATTTCATTAATCATATTACAAGTGTACACATCCTTACCCTATTTATAGCAAGACTTTCTCAAGAGCTCTCATATGCTTCCACATAATGTGAGAATTTTTAGAACATAGATTCCAAAAAAAAAAAAAAGAAAAAAAAAGGATGAGTTTCCACTTCTTGAATCCTGCAACTTAATAAAATATTTTGTACACCATTTAACAACAAATAAGATCAGGGTGTAATCTCACCTGTTGCGAGTTCACCTGCCCCTACCACTTAATGGCTCTCCTTCCCACATAAGTGAGCTAGATATATAAAATTATTCCAGTCCTAAAAAATAAAATAAAATAAAATAATCCTAACTGAAGATATGCAGTACTAGGAAGGGAAAACTATCACCCAAGTTTTTTGTTTTTTTGTTCACAGATTCAGACTGAATTCTAAAAACTCAAATTCACAATAAACATATATAACAAGTTGCTCAAGTCATATATCACAATAAACATAGATAGCAGGTAATTTCTCAGAATCCGCACCCAATTAATATGAACAGCTCCAAATCATTTGTCCACTCCAGCAAGACAACCTAAAAATGTTTATATTTGGCAAGTTAGCAAGTGTATAATGAGCAAGAAACAAAGCATGAACTGATAACATACATAATTTGCACTTATCAGTGGATAACATCTATAGGAACACAATGGATCCCATGATATGTAAGTACCAAAGCTACATACCTAATATATGTATGTAAAGACAAACAGATACAAATATATGTCAACATTTATATGTATTATAGATGCAGTATAGATAAACTACAAAAGGGAAAATCAGATGAACTAGAAATTTGTCTATCACTACAACTAGATTTACCAGGTTTTTTCGAAAAACTCCTTCAAAACACTGATTGTAAACAAATCCAAATCCAGCTGTAATGCACACTAAAACAAGTTTGGAAAGAATTGACTTTCAGAAAAAGTTACAAGTACGCATTATATTTGCTATCATAATTAGTTCTTTCATTCTGGTTTTCTCCGAAGAGCAGCCTCCAATACGTTACCATTGCTCCTGCAATAACTTGTTCGTTTAAGAACCGCAGCAAGCTAATTTTTGCGCAAGTTGACCATCTGCAGCCCCCTACTCCGGTTGATTGATTTTGATAGTTTGAGGCTGCTGCAAAACACAAATTGTAAGTAGTTTTCAGCCCTTTAGAACAGAGTGACCCCAAAGTGAAATTCTTAATTAAAAAACAAGACACGTGTCATATGATTCAAATACCTCTGCCCTGGAGTCAGTGTCAGCGAGCCTTTGCTTTATATCCCTAGCTATTGAAAAGAAGACTTGCTCAACATTAAGATTTGTCTTTGCACTCTGTAAACGGCAACTTTAATCAGTAAAAAGGACACGGTTGATAAATTTTTTAGAGAATTTAAGTGTGTTGTACTTACCGTTTCAAAGAATTTAATGCCATATTCATGTGCACGTGCTTGGCCCTTAGAGGTTGGCACAACCTACATAGATTTTATGAGGAGAGATTTCCAGGTTTGAGAGGTTCACAAGCAAACTTTGAAATGGAACTAAATTGAAGACATGAGCTGAACTAGTAGAATTGAAATCAAAGGCAATTTAAGTATAAAAAGAAGTGATGGGGAGCAGGGGCTCACAGAGAGAGAGAGAGAGAGATTTAAACAAACCACATACCCTTTTGCTTTCATCCATATCAGCCTTGTTCCCTACCAGTATCTTGTTGACATTATCAGAAGCATGCTGTTCAATGCTGCGAATCCAGTTCCGAATGTCTGAAAAAAGTGGGAAGCAAGGTTTTTAAGAATCAATAGAGAACACAAGACAATTTGATGATAGTAGTTCTGCAAACCAATGCAAATCCATTTACCCCTGTGACAGTAGACAATAAAATATGCAGAAAAATCTATTTAAATTTTGCACAAAATATTTGTAGAAAAGAGTCCAACTAGCAGAGGTTCAACGAAGCATAAAGATGACAGAATTTGTAGAAAAGAGTCCAACTAGCAGAGGTTCAACGAAGCATAAAGATGACAGAATTTGTAGAAAAGAGTCCAACTAGCAGAGGTTCAACGAAGCATAAAGATGACAGAATTTGTAGAAAAGAGTCCAACTAGCAGAGGTTCAACGAAGCATAAAGATGACAGAATTTGTAGAAAAGAGTCCAACTAGCAGAGGTTAAACTGCCTGATTAACACCCCAACTGTGCCCTTCTAAAAAAAACACACACACTTCAACTGTGTATCTGTACTTCCAAAATTTGTAATGATAGTCCTCTCTTCAAACTTTTGTTTTCATATGTTACTAATGACACTCACCTTCGACTAAAGATACCTCAGACTATGCTTGGTACAACACCAGGTAATTCTATCTTGCTCAGCTTTCACAATTTTCTTTCTAAACTTTCCACAGATCTGACATGTTTTTTGAATTCATCTTGCATTATACATTTTGATTGCCGTGACTTACCAATGCGTTCTGATATTAACCCAGTCCTACAAATAGCAAACCTTGGCCACCAATGGTTGCATTTGTAAATGGTGAATATATAGGTAATTACATGAACACAGGCAAACAAATGTTTGTTTTGTAGCTCTGTGATCTAATATGTATTTCCGGAATATTGATTCACAATTATGGTTAAATTTTTGTTGAACTATCATCTTTTTTGGCCCAATATTGTGTCCTATTTATCCAAATTGTCGTATGAAAATTAGTGTAGAAGTTTCTTTCAGTTCAAAAAAGAACCTAACAGATCAATTCAACAATTCAACAAACACACATATTGATGTATACAAATGTTATACATGCAGTAAAATTCAAAAGAAATAGAGAGAGAGAGAGAGTATCGATTAAAGTTCAGTAAATGAGGATCAAGTCAGAATGCCTCTCTCTGAATCTCTGCAAATGAGGTTCAAGTAAGAATGCCTTCAAAACATTGATTTCATAGATCTAGAGAAAGAGAGAGACGGTAGAGCTCGCTACCTCGCCGGTGCAGATGACGGTGGCGATGGAGCTTCGAAATCGCTCTGAATCTCGAAATCGATCTGAATCTTCCAAATCGCTTCCAAATCACAGGTGCAGATGGAGCTTCGATGAAGAAATGTGTGCGTATAAGGATTGACAGAGAGAGAGAGCTGTGTGCGTATTCAAGCTAAGACTCAGTGTTATATATTCAAGCTTCAAGAACAGCCGATTGATCTCCTCCGTCTTCTTCGTCGCTGAGAGAGAGAGAGAGAGAGACATGTGCGCGAAATTGCTTACACTTTGGACTCAGATTCGAAAATAAGGGTTTCATAAAGGGGCGCGTGTACGTACAGCATTCGGAGGCGCTTTTAAACGCCTTCAACTAGAAACGGTGCCGTTTTGGTTTTAAAAAATATGCGACGATTACAAAACATCGTTAAAAATTAGCAACAGTGACGTTTAATAAAACGCCGTTAATTAAACGCCGTTAATTGCCCGTTTCCTGTAGTGATATAAATTACATCACTTTATATTTGTGTATTTATTTTTTCTACATTATAAATATACGAAGGAGATAATCATAATTCAAATTTGGCGTGTGTCATTTGCTGCTTTTCTCATTTTGGGTCGTGTGGTTTTGTCGGCTGCATGACGCGTATGAAACATCAACAATCAATAATATGAGCGAATAAACAATAATATAAGCGAATAAACCTCTGTGCCGAAATGCATAAACGACAAAGAAAGAGTCATGAACAAAAGTCATGTGCTCACATACAAAAGACCGATTCTCATGCATGTGTATTTTCTAAGAAGAGTTTCAGCAAAGTGCAAAAATATTACAAAAAGTTATTTGATGATCCTGCCTGAGATATGTCGGCTTGTTGGGAAAGTTAACAAAATAATTTTAAAGTAAAAAAAGTATTAAAAAATTAATAAATTATATGAAAAAAAAAAAGCTAAAAAAATTTCTTTTCTTTATACTTTTTTCATATTTTTTTAGAAAAAATTAAAAAGTTATTTCAAACATACTAGTTTTTTAATCTCATATTTGAGCCAAAAAAATCAAAAAAAAAAAAATTATTAAAATAACATATTCCCAAATGAGGCATCATTTTGTTTGCGATGCCTCATTTTGTTTGGTTTGAAATTTTTAAAAATAATTCTTTTAATTTATAATTTATAATTTTTTGTTTTCATAAAAAAATTATTTTAATTAATTTATTATAATTTTTATATTTACTTAATCTAGATGCATTTAAAAATATAAAATTTGTGTAATTTTTTTTAAATTCTTTAAATACAAATATATATATATATATATATATTTTTAACCACTTGATAAAAATTCATATGATATTCTTCAACTACTTAATAATTTTTCATAAGTTACTCACTCGAAAAACTATTCATAGACCCGCTAATCATCAATTGCCAAATTCTTATGCTATTCTCCAATCACCAACATAAATTAATGAATTTTATTGTTTTAACCAAATTTCGTTCAAGTTAGCCTGCTCCAACAACACCAAAAGCATCCCGATCCCAAAACCTTCAATTACATGATGGAAATATTTTTTTTTTTATTCAAAAAGTGAATATTAAGCATCTAATATTCAACCAAACTCTGACTACAAATCATCATTTTCTTCTTTAAAGATTTCTCTTTAAAATATTTTCATCAAAAAGTGAATAATTTTTATTCATAAATAAATACTAATTTTAAAATATTTGTTAAATATATTTAATATTATACTCATTTTAAAAGTATGTTTCATTCTTTTCAATGTAATTTTATAAAAAATAAATTTATATATTAAAAGTTATTTGTAATATAATTAAAAACACAAAATGAATAATATTTTGGAGAGCATCCTCCATTTTTTATCCTCCCTCTATATGTGTAGAATGAATCAATCATCCTCTAAAATAGATAGAGTTTTAGAGAATGTGTTGTAGTGTCCAATCCTCCAAATTTATAAATTTAAAGAATAAATTGTACATGCTCTAAATAATTTCTCATCACTCTTCTACCAATGAGAAATTATTAATTGATTTAGAGTATCATCACTTAGTATCTCAACGATGTTATAATTGATGTAGGACATAAAATCTATAAATTTATGTTGAATAATTAAAAAATTTTAAAAATATATAATAACTTCTTTTTTCTTTTTCTTTTTTCAAATAACTTCTTTTTTTTTTTCTTTTTTTTTTAGTGTGGTAAGTGAGTTTAGCATAAAATTAAAAGGTCAAGTTTTATTTTATTTTATTTTTTGTATTTTTTATTATTAGTATTTTTTAAAGATTACGTCATTTTTTTAATTTTTCAAGCCCATTTTGTATAAATGAATTTAAAAATAAAAAATAGTTCAGAAGAGACAAAAATAGAAATGAAAAATTCCAACTATTTTATACTTTTTTCAAAATTTTAAATTTTTTTTTAAACATTTTCAATCAGTCTGGTGGATTATAATTTAAAAGTGTAGAATTTTAAAAAAAAAATTGAAAGAAATGTACAATAAAAATGAAAAAAATTGGAAAATATAAATTACATCACTTTATATTTGTGTATTTATTTTTTCTTATATGCCTTGGGGTTAAGACCGCAACCGATTGAAGGAGACCCTACATCGAAGGAGGTGGAGGCGAGGCGAAGGGCGGAGGAGGCGGAGGAGCGGGAGATTTTCGCCAGAGCCGAAAAGTATAAGGAGGCACAGTTAGGGCCTGCCCCTGAACTGGTGATGAAGGAGCCGGTCCGACCGTGTCCCAAACCATTGGGTGACAAAGTCTTAGCTAGTTTCGCCCCACAGCCACCACCAGTAGATCCGTTAAAGGAGAGGGGCAGACAGGAAGTGGAGGCAGTGCTGAAGAAGCCAAAGAAGAAGAGGGCTGCTGGCGAGGGGGGAAAGGGTGCTCCTGCTGTGAAGAAGATGAAAGTTGGGGGTGAGAACGTCTCCATGGTGGAGAAAACGAATGAGGGAAGGGTGAGGGCAGCTCCAGAAGGGGAGATCGTTCTCGCAACGAAGGAGGATAAGGGTCCCAACGCCCAAGGGTTGAAAGAAAACTTGGAGACTGCCCAGGTGGCGAAAGAAGGCCAGGGGCCAAGCGCCCAAGTGTTGAAAGAACACGTGAGCCTGAGCGCCCAAACGGCGGTGGCAGTGCCTGTAATAGAAGTGACCGCCAGCCCCAAGGCAAAAAGAAGACCGGGGCTAGCACGCCAGAGACAAATGCCGCGCTGACGAATGCGTTGTACCAGACGATCGCGCGTTGGCGGGGCACTCCGTGGAGGAAGGGGGAAAAACCAGAGCGGCAGTCGACTGCCTAGTTGGAGTGTTGGAGGACGCTGCCGTGCGGTCAATGGCACGGTTAGGGGAGGCCGACCTCTTGAGGGGGTTGTGCTCGGCCCAAATGGAGGCAGCAACCTTAGCGGCTGCTTTGTTGAATAAATCAGCACGTGTGAAAATAGAGATAGAGCCGCTAAGGGTTAAGCTGAGAGGGGTGAAGGGGCAGCTGCAAAAGCTGA